TGCTGCTGCTGCTCCTGCTGCTGCTACGGCGATCGGGGAAACGCCGTAAGCTAAGGATTAGAGTTTAGGGTTTAGGGTTTAGGATTTAGGGTTTTTTAGGGTTTAGGGTTTAGGGTTTAGGGTTTACATGGGTGTGTGGTTCAGGCACAGCAGCAACCGGGAACCCTCATCTTTATCTTCTTTTTCTTTTTCTTCGTTGCTGCTGTGTTGTCTGCCGTTTGCTGCTGAGGGGCCCCCCCTTGGTTCAGGCCTGCTGCAGCGGCTGCAGGGGGAGTTGCTGCTGCTGCAGCAGCTGCTGCTGCTGCTGCTGCAGCTCTCTAGGGGCCTCTATGTCTCTCATGCTTCTATTCAGATACACATGGGGGCGGGGGCCCCCCAGTCGCAGTTGCTGCACGCCTGGGGCCCCAGCAGCAGCAGCAGCAGCAGCAGCAGCAGCACAGGTGATGAGTCTTCAGCAGCACCCCCAGCAGCAGGAGCAGCAGCTGCTGCTGCTGCTGCTGCTGTTTTTTCTCGTGTTGTTCGTTCCTTTGCTGCAAGGGTTGATACCTCCTGGCCTTTCAGAGACCTTTTGAGGGCCCCCCTTAGGGGGGAGGGGCCCCTGGGGGCCCCCGGGGGCCCCCCAAAGGGGGGCCCCCTGGGGGCCCCCATGGGGGCCCCCAGGGGGCCCCCCCAGGCGTCGGTGGTTTGTTTAGCAGACAGAAGAGGGTACAGAACAGGGGCGGGGGGCCCCTCAGGGGCCCCCAAGGAAGGGGGAGAAGGTTTGTGTATGAAGGGAGAGATGAATTTGGGGTGTATAGGCAGGGGCCCCTATCTGTATGAATTGAGGCTGCTGCTGCTGAACCTTATCGCGCTGCTGCGGCAGCTCTGTACCCATTCTGGGGGCCCCCAGCAGCAGCAGCAGCAGCAGCAGCAACAGCAGCAGCAGCAGCAGCAGCAGCAGCAGCCGCTGCAGCAGCTGCTGAGTGCTGCAGCGTGGCTGCTGCGTAGCGAGACGAAGGGGGCCCTCAGGGGGGCCCCCTTTTGGTTGCTAGGTGTTGCTGGTGTTGGGGTGTATAGGCAGCTGGGGGCCCCAGATGCAGCTGTATATACACCTGAAATAGAAACAGAAAAAGCTATATTAAAGCTTCAATCTGCTGCTGTTAGTGCTTTTGCTGCTGGGGGGGGGCCCCCCTATGCTGGGGGGCCCCTCTGTACCCCTATAAACACAGAGCAAGAGGGGTGTGTTTTGTTTTGTTTTGTTTGTTTTTATTTTATTTTGTTTTTGTTTTTTTTTTATTTGTTTATGTTTTAGTGGTTGTTTAGATGTATTCATCTTTGTTTTCTTTTGTTTATATTTTTTGTTTTTTTTATTTATTTTATTTTATTTTATTTTATTTATCTATTTTATTTTATTTATTCACTTAATGTTATTTATTTATTTTATTCTATTTCATTTTACTTATTTATTTTCATTTTATTTATTTATTTATTTAATTTAATTTATTTTATTTTTATTTTATTTATTTTATTTATTTATTTTATTTATTTTATTTATTTATTTTATTTTGTTTGTTTTCTGCTGCTGCAGTTGCTGGGGAGGAACAGGCAGCGCGCTGCAGCAGATGGTGCGGCTGCTATGGGACGCCACGGACCCCTCTGCTGCTGCTGCTGCTGCTGCTGCTGCAGCTGCTGCCCCTGCTGCTGCTGCTGCTGCTGCTGCTGGTGGTGGTGCTGCAGCAGTGCTGCCCCCATTGGGTGTACCTTCATCTGAGTGTGTTTATTCTGGTGGGGTTGCTCTCTCTTACACACCAACAAACAAAGAAAAACAAATAAATATAAAAAAAGAAAATATAAATAATAAAAAAAACAACAACGATGAAACAGATACACAAATCTGCTTTCAATATGCTATACAAGCCATCAGAAGTGGATTGGGGGCCCCCCTGGGGG